ATATTCAGTGTGGTCTTGTCTTCAGGAGTAAAACCCAGTGATTTCTCTCTTACATATGACACCCAGTTCTCATCCTGAAATGTGTCCTCCTTAATGCCTGTCACCCATTTAACCCATCCCCCTGTCCAACACCCCTCCATTAACCCTCAGTCTGTTCTATGTATTTAAGAGTTGCTTATGGTTTGCCTCCTCTGTCTCTATCTATCTTATGTTCCCTTCTCTTCTCCTGTGTTCATCTGTTGAGTTTCTCAAGTTGCACATATGAGTGAAATCATATATCTTTCTTTGACTTATTTGGTTAGCATAATACCCTCCAGTTCCATCCACATTGTGGCAAATGGCAAGATTTCATTCTTTTTCATCGCCAAGTAGTAGTATTCCACTGTATATATAAAAACCATACTTTTTAGTAAGTATTTTTATTTAGTAGTTTTATTTAGGCTGAGAATTTTGGAGGGTATGTGTTAGAGATCCTTCACTCGTGCCTACCCTTCCTTTGGTTTTCATTTTAAGAAAGATAAAGCTGGAGAAAGGCTCATAGCTGGGGTTGAAGTGAGCAAACTGGACAGACTAGAAAGGATTGGCAGGGCTAAGACCTGGATTACAAGACCCTGGGAAATCCTCCAAGATAAGAATTCCAAGCAATAAACAAAATGACTGTACAAGATAAAGAGAATTACACATTAGGAATTTTTTAAAATGTGTTCTGCCTTCTCCAGAGGTGGCAAAAATACATAACCACGAAGTGGTGAAGGCACTGGTGGCCCAGGGACAGGGGAAACTACCTATTCACAAATAAAGCCCTCTCCAGTGTCAGGTATGGCTTGAATTCTCCCTGTGAACTTTGCTTTGGGGCATAATGGTTTATTGGCAAAAAGGCTGTCCAAAATTTAAACCTAATGAACACCTGAACTCTTCTTGAAAACTACATGCCAGTTAAAGACCGCAGATTCTGAGGTGATAAACTAAGAAGGGGACAGTGTCTAGTAAATTCGGGTTGTGATAAGCTTTAGACCACTGAGCCATCAGGGAGATCAGGCTTAGGTGTGGCACTTTGACGTCAGATTAGCACAAAGTAAATACTCAAAATTCAACAAAAAATGCAAAGATAATGGTGAAGGACGACGCTAAAGAGGAGGAGGCTTCCGTGGATGAATCTGGCTTGCTTCACGATTGTGCTTAGGGCCTGCTCTGCAGGTCAGACAATAAGATTCATCATGTGGTGAAATAATTTGTAATGAGACCATGAATCGTATTCATAAGCCAAGGGAAAACATTGTCAAAGGCCCCTCCCACTGGTGCATAAATGACAGGGAAGCGTTTCTGGAATGGGGCTTGCTGAGTACTGTTTGTGTGTTCCCCTCTGCAGGACAAGCAGCCTCTAGTCCTGCTAACACACAACCGGTCAAGTCACAGATGTTTATGTGGAAGTTTCTGTGACCTTTCCGGGATGCTCTCCCCTAGCTGGATCCCAAACACAGTCCCATTTCACAGCCTTGCATCATCTAGTAGGAGCCCAGCCAGGTGGAGAGGGAACAGCCTGGGAAGGGATGAACAGGAAGAGCCCCAAGGATTCTACAGTGGGTCCAGAAACCCCTTCGCTGAGTAAACTTGAGGAGCCCAAGGGCACTTTCATCAAGCTGAGAAGAGACAAACCAAATGCAAGTTGAGAGTGTGACCACGTTGAAGGGCAACTGACACTTGTCACAAGGCTAGAAGTTTTGTATGTTTTTTAGCACTTGGTAATATGACAGACATATTTACTAAAGCCTAAGAACAGATGCTCTTGATACAACCATAGGGCGTGAAGTCCCACAGTATCTTCATAACTGAAATACATATTTTTTAAGGTCCTTTCAATTGTTCAGTGTCACTGATCACATTGTGACCTATTTTTTTTTTTAATGTTTATTTTTGCAGGAGAGAGATAGAGCATGAGTGGGGGAGGGGCAGAGAGAGAGGGAGACACAGAGTCTGAAGCAGGCTCCAGGCTCTGAGCTGTCGGCACAGGGCCCGACGCTCGAACCCCCAGACCGTGAGATCGTGACCTGAGCCGAAGTCAGATGCTTAACAGACTGAGCCACTCAGGTGCCTCTCATTTTTGTTTTAAACCTGTTTCTAAAGTGACTCTTCAGTATTGTCGATAGATCCATAATAAGAACTAAAATTATTTTAAGGGAGTATCAGTTATCATTTACTCTTCTCCCATTCCCCTAAACTGAAAGACATGGTCATGACTGCAATTCTCAGAGATAGGAAATGATTTTCCCCTCTATTTTGGTTCTTTGAACGGTTTTCCTTGCTGCTTCATGGTTTCCAAGCTGGCTATTATTGTGGAACCTTTTAATCTCTCTGTGCCTATGGAATTGTGGCTACCAAATGGAGGTGACATCAGAATTTACTGGATACAGTTGTTGGAGAATGAAATGGAATGATAGATGTAAAGTGCTTAGCAAAATGCTGGGACACAGAAAGTGTTCAGTAAGTGCTAACTATGATCGTCTTTATCATCACCATCATTATTCATTTAAATTCAGGTTAGTCAAGGATACAGTAATTTTTAAATGATATATTTTATGTTTGAAGATAGCATATAACTTCTGATTATTAACTTTACATAATTATCACTGCTATCTAATTTGAAAATGCCCCCCAAATTTTTTCAGCACCCTCCACATTTGCTTGGTAAGGGTGTTATATGTACGTAGGAAACATTTTTTAATTATTTTAGATTTTAAAAATAACCAGATTTAATTTTCAGGCATGACAATGTTGAATTTGTGATAAATCTGAAAAGCTGAATGATTAAACTTTGTTGATAATCATTTGCATTATATGTTTTGTCTAATCTTTAAATCTACTATGCCAGCAGAGAGACTGTGATGTTTTAGAATTTGTTTATTCAAAGAAAACATGGAAACATTTGCGTACTGATGTGGAATGCTTAAAAAAATGTGCCACGCAGAGGAAAGTTGGAAGCAATGTCTGTGAACCTCAAACTCATCTTGCTTCTTGCATTTTTAGGGCACCAGATTCCCAAGCTGTGTTGAGAAATGTCCAGAGATGAGTGGAAGTGTTTTGAAATCAGTCTGCCACAACATGGAGACCGCCCTTTGTTTAAAGGCGAGCCAAGCAGTGTCTCTGGACCTTCATGCGCACATCCCAGTGACATAACTGGGAGTGTCAGGTTGAGATCCCTCTAGACTTGGCTACATCATGTGCTGGATTTTTAAAACAACCTAGCTATCAGAATAGTTTCCAGGCTTAGAATCAAATGCAATGGGGATACAATGCCCCCATAAATTAGTTTTCTGAAAGCTTCAAATATACTTTAATTGAGGTGAATCCTGATATAATAAATGAGTTTCCCAGGTTCCTGTGTAGAAATATAATGCCTCCAATTGGGTAACACTATCATGCTTCAGAAATCCCTCCATTCTGGCTTACCATAATGTTAGGTTTCCTAATAATCACTTGTCTTAGACATTCTCTGAAGGCAGATTCTAAGGCAAAGGCTTTTGTGCAGGTAGTACATTTATGAATTGCTGGAAGGCAAGAAGGAAATGATACTGGAAAGCAAGATGTGGAGGATCAAACAGGAAGGAGGAAAAGCCAATTTAGGGATGAGTTACAAGGTTGGCTTGAGTTACAAGTTACAAGGTTACCAGTGGTACTCAAAGCGGTATTCTGTTTTTGTTTTTGTTTTTGTTTTTGTTTTGTTTTTGTTTTTGTTTTGTTTTGTTTTTCTAAAGAGCCTTATGTATGTGTTTCAGAAGTGACTAACTAGGGTATCAAAATGGTGGACACATCTTTTATCTTCTGTCCCCCACTGGTCAAGGGAAACCACATTAATGCTCCTTTGCACTTCTGAATGATGCACAGGTTCTTATATACTTTCCACACAGGTGCATCAAAACCAAAACCAAACAAGGGCACCTGGGTGGCTCAGTCGGTTAAACATCTGACTTCGGCTCAGGTCATGATATCAAGGTTTGTGGGTTCAAGCCTCACGTTGGGCTCTGTGCTGACAGTTCGGAGCCGGGAGCCTGCTTTGGGTTCTGTGTCTCCCTCTCTCTCTGCCCCTCTCCCGCTCATGCTCTGTCTCTGTCTCCCTCTCTTTCTAAAGTAAATAAACGTTAAAAAAAAAAAAAAAAGCAAAATACCCAGGTAGAAACTGAGAGATAGTTACCACAGGCCTCAGTCAAATGTTGTCAGGTTGCCCCTATGGAAAGCTGGGTGAAGCTTTCAAAGAATAAGTCATCACGGCAGTCCTGGAGTAGGATGTGGAGAGGGTTTGAGGCAGAGTTCAAGGCATGTCTACTACAGTCCATCCCTTTTACCTCTCAGTTTCTCTCGTTCCCATGACAGAGTCCCTTTTAAGGTGGTAGGCAAATTTGAGAGGATTTAATAAAAGGTTAGTTGAATGAAGGTTATCCTCACTGCTTGGATGTAAATCCTAAAGCCATAATCAGTATTTTCTTTCCTCCACTATGTATTTTGAATTTCCGTTATATTTGACTAGTAGGAGGGTCTAACTGTGTGCCCAGTGGAGCGACTCGGGACCTTTATCCTGAAGCCTTAGCCACTTGGCCCTTGTTGGGCTGTGGTTGCTGTACCTGCTGATTCTTAGTTACCACTAAGTGCTGAAGCACCAAAAGACATCCCAGGGAGCCTCCTTTTTTTCAGATATATTCCTCCCTGTCCCCAAGGTGTAGCAGCAATACTAACTCCCCCATGGTTAAGGTCAATTTTTATCCCCTGTAGAGTTAACTCTTTGCTTATTGGTTCCCTGGCAAGACGAGCCCAACACAACCAGATGGTAGTTGTACCTCCAGCTACACTAGAATGCTCGCAGTGCACCCTGGGAAATAGAACTAATGATGACGTAATGTAAAGGATGGTGATGAGAAGCATGCATTCTCCAAGTGTGTCACCAGGAGTGATGGTGAGAAGTACCAGCCCCACTTCTACCCTTGGTTCCCACACCTGTATATCCAATGAACTGGGGGCACAGAACCAGAAATGAACCATTCGTTCAGAATACAAACCACATTCTGGAGGACTGCACCTCACAGGATGCTACTTGAGCTGGTGCCTTTGCCAAACCTCTCTACTATATTCTATAGTCCACTTTTCTACTTCAGCTGATATCATACATGGTAAGTCTAAAGGGTTCTGTGGATATGTATCTATTCTTTTGCCTCTTTTGGGGTAAAGTGGGTCTATTCTCAAGATGAAGCAGAGAGGAGAAGGAAAGTATATGACAAATACATGTGCAGTTTTCTATTCAACTTAAATAATGATTTTGTGGTGGACGCAACCTGTTAGGGCAACAAAATTCATTTTGCAAATTATTCAGTGAATCCAAAGTGCCATGCAAAAGTTGTGGTTGTTTACAGTGATCACAGGATAGGGAATTTGGCTAAGAAAGCCATCCAGACTGGTGCAGAGCTGTTTTTTTGATTACAGATAGAGCCAGGCTGATGGCCTGAAGTACATGGGCAGCAAAAGAGAAACAGAAATCCCTTGATGTCTGCTATCTCCTCCTCACTCTCCTTCTTTATGCAACAACTGCCTTAGCTTCAGGTACCTTGAGTACTGTGGGCAATTTAGAAAAAGAAAATACAATTTGAAATTCTGAATTTGCAAGGGACTATAAGAATAATTGATAGTAATGAGTTTAAAAATCAACGTTTGAGGGGTACCTGGGTAGCTCAGTTGGTTGAGTGTCAGACTCTTGATTTCTACTCAGGTCATGATCCCAGGGTCATGGGATTGAGCCCTGCATTGGGCTGTACTGAGCATGGAGCCTGTTTGAAATTCTCTCTCTCTCTCTCTCTCTCTTTCCCACTACCCCTCTCTTCTGCTCTCTATCCCTGTGTCTAAAATGTAAAAAAAGTTTTTTAAAAATCTACTTTTTATTGCCATCTTACTAGCTGCAAAATGTTTTGAACCATGAATTTTTGCAATAGTGCAGCACAGTACATTTTTACACTTTGAATAAAGAATAAACTTCACAAAAGGGGAGCGGGCAGAGTGTGTATACAGGCCATGAGGTAGGCACAGCACAGCACGTGTGAGGGGTCAGGACAGTCAGGAGAGGTAGGCCCGTGCTGCTGGTGGAGCTCAGACATGGCGGCTGTTGTTACCTAAAATCCTCAGCAGCAACTGGGCTGTGAGGGCCATGGAGCAGCTGGAGAAAACAACACCCTGCGTTTAAGAACATTAGCTTCAAGGGGCTGGAAGTAAATATGTTAGATTCCCCCTTTCTGTCTCGATCCCCATGCAGCTTATTACGAAGACGTCTTGGGTTTTGAGCAGTTCTCCACAGTGAAAGGAACTCACCTGGGCACCACAGATGGGCACCTTCTCTGTTCAATTTGCTACAGGGTGTGTCTCCATCTCCCGGCAGCATGAGATGATGGAACCGAATGTTTCAATGACACCCGTGAAAGTGAAAGTGAGGGAAATACGGCATTGGGTACATAAGAGAAATGTGTCGTCCAGTTTCCAGACCAAACAGAAGCTTCTTCTATAGAGTACTCAGAAGAGGAGTCTGCCTTAACTCTGGCCCCAGAGGGAAGAAAGAGCTGCCCACAAGACTGTGACTGCTCACGATATGGAGTCAGACCTCAATGCCAAGGAGCGTGTACTGTGTTTCATCTTATCGTGAATTTCAATAAACATGTATGATACATCTGAAATGTAAAAAGCAATACCTGTTAGTGTGCGGCAACGTTGTACGTGACACCATGCCAATGGTTTATCGTTAGGCAAATCTCTAATGGTAGTGCTGGAGTTGCTCTGTAGACATAAAAGAAAAACCCAGATGTCAATTCTGGTAAGGATGATCAAGGATGGACGAAGTCCAATGCAGTGGAATTGAAATCAAGTGATTGGCTCTTCTCCTCCATGACGGTGCTACATTGCCACTGGTGATAGGCATTCAGTAATGGTAGCAGCTAGATCATTCTGGATGAGAGAGAGCCCATGCTGTATAGCCCATATGTAGTCTTTATCTCTGGCACAATGGCCACATCATTCATAACTCATTGTGTCAGCACCACTCGGCTCAATAAATACGATGATTGACACAAGATGGATCATCTTGTCCAGTGAGTTGTTGATTTCCTTTTCTGTGTTGAATGCTCTTCAGTAGCTATTAATGTAAGCCATGAACGTTTGCATACTCTGTCCACTTCCATTGTTCCATCAACTGGTCTATTCTCCAGACTTTCTTGCCTCTGATTTTTTATTATTGTTCCCTCAGGCACAGGAATCAATGTATACTCATAACTCAACCTTCCCATAACTCAACTATCCCTTCCACACATGGTAAACAATGAACTGTACTGCACACAGTTTTTAACATTGATAGAATCTTCTTAACCACAGTCTTTTGGGGCCACCTCTGAGTGAGGCTGTGGTGTGGCAGCAGTACATTTCTGGCTAGTCCCAATGTATTATGTATTACCATCTGTGGACCAGACCTGAGGTTTTCCTTCTCTGTTATTTGGACATAATTGTTTCAGGTTGGGTTTCCTAGGAAGCAGACTCTGTTTAACATGCAAGGTTTAACATGAAAGACATTTATTAGAGTGTGCTCTTGAGAACAATATCTGTGGAAGGAAAAGGGAGGGGGCAGGATTGGGCAGGAAGAAAATTGAGTTGTGACAGTGTCTGTGGAATGCCTTAGATAGCCCTGAAGAGAAGGCTGAAGACCAGAAGACTCTTGAGAGCTGTCCTGAGCTGGATAAAGGCACCAGACCTTTCTTTGTATCCTTTATCAATGGTCACAGAATGTAGGGTACCCAAGAAAGGAAGAGATCTTAGGCAAGGAAGCTCTGTTCAGCTGAGGCAATCCCAAAAAGGGCTGACAGCTGAGGGCTGGTTATCACAGTATGTGGGGTTAATGAGTCCTTTATTCCTGAAGGGAGATCTGGGTAGCAAATCTCAGCATATGCCAGAGGGGTCAACCTTTAGAAGATATGATTGAAGGAAAGGCATTGGTACAACAGTGATGGCTTCCATGGAAGTCTGTGAATGTACTTTGCTTGTTCTTTCTGAACCTGCTCAAGTCTGAACCTATAAGAAACATTCTCCCCATTCACACACAGGATTGCTATTATGCCCCCTGAACCATTTGGTTTGGTTGGTAATACCCAGCTTGTGATGGGCAGCTCTGGCCACAAAGGTATTTGTTATCGCAGGTAAAATCTCCTGATCTGCATACCTGTATTTTTAATTCACTGGAAGCAAGAAAGCCAAATTCCTATCTGGAAATTTACCACATTGATGAAGAACTTATCCTTAGAAACTTATTTAACTTTGCTTTTAATCTGTATGTTTATCGATGAGCATAGCAATCTCATGGAGAATTAGGGTATTAGAATACTGGGGCACGAATCAAAGTTGAGCATTCACGTATGAACTCATTCTCTTGAACAGAAAAATTTCATGGATGTAACGATGAAATGACTGAGCAAAAGAACATGCATATGATAGGAATGCTTACAAGATGTTTTCAATTTGCTTTTTTGGCAACCAGTATCTGAATAGACTAAAATTGCAATTTCTTTGTGTATTCTGTTTTATTTCAGAATATGGATTTATAGAACCCTTAGGTTGCTATAAATTTTAAAACATTTTGTAGTCAGTGTCTTTGCCTATATTTACACACCTATGTTAAAAAATTAATCCTCTGGAAGAAACACTATTTATTTATCTATTTATCGGTCTATTTATTTTATTTGAATATAGTTGATGCACAATATCACAGTAGTTTCAGGTGTACAATTTAGTGATTTGACAAGTTTATACATTATGATGTCTTCACCACAATTATAGTTACCATCTATCTCATCACATCGCTATTGCAATATCATTGACTATATTCTTTATGTTCTGCTTTTATTTCCGTAAGTTACTCCTTCCATAACTGGACACCTATATCACTCTTCCATTTACCCATTTTGCCCAAACCCCGTCCCCTCTGGCAACCATCAGCTTGTTCTCTGTATTTATCGTTTTAATTCTGCTTTTTGTTTATTCATTGTTTTAGATTCCATTTATGAGTAGAATCATATGGCATCTGTCTTTCTCAGTGTGACCTATTTTACTTAGCATAATACCTCTAAGTCCATCCATGTTGTCTCAAATGACATGATCTCATCCTTTTTATGGTTGTATAATATCCCATTGTGTATAAATTCCACATTTTCCTTATCCATCTGTCTATTGATGGACACTTATGTTGCTTCCTTGTATTGCTACTATAAACAATGCTGCAATTAACATGGGAGTGCATAGTGGAATTATTGGATCATATGGTAAGTCTATTTTTTATTTTTTAAAGAACCTCCATACTGTTTTCCACAGTGACTATACAAATTTACATTCCCACCAACAGTGCATGAGGGTTCTTTTTTCTCCACATCCTGACCAACATTTGTTGCTTCTTATCTTCTTGATTTTAACCATTTTAACAGATGTGAGGAAATGTTTCATTGTAGTTTTGATTAACATTTCCCTGATGATGAGTGATGTTGAGTATATTTACATGTTTGTTCGTTAATAATCTATTTTAAAACCTGACAATTGTAGTTGAATTTTCCTAATGTCTACACCTATCTATCTATCTATCGATTGGTTGATTGATGTAGATGTTGGGAGAATTTATGTATAAAATATACACATATAAAAATATATATATAACATGTAAGGTACATGTATAATAACAAGTAAACTATCTATATCTACCCATCTCTCTCTATATATAACAAATATATTATATACTCCTGGTATAAAAAAATATAAAACCTTAAGAGAAAGTTAACAAAATTACATGGACTATTCATATCTCAAATCTATAGGATTATGTGGTGGTTTAAAAAAAGTTGTTTGCATATCTGCTCATCAAGATTTGGGGTCTAAAGTTCCCTCCCATTGAATCTTGTAATTCCCAGGGAATTCCTGGTTCTCTCCCAGTGACTCTTATAATTAAGATAATGTACTAGATGTAACTATGTAACTTCAAGGTCAGATCAGAAAAGATCATGAATCTTTCAACTGGCTCTCTTGGGAAGTTTGCTGTGGGAGAAGTCAGAAACCATGTAGTACATCTAATTATCTTGATATTTGTATGCTGGAGAAGACACAGGTAGACACTCCAGCAATGGTGCAGCTAAACTTCCAGCCTACAGTCAACTCCAAGTGTCAGCATTTGAGCGAGCCATTTTTGACATCCAGCCCATTTAGACTTTCAGATGATTGTAGTCCCAGCCAACATCTGAGTGCAATAGTATCAGAGAACTTTAGAGTAAATAGCCCAGCCAAGTTTTACTCATATATATAACCAATACATGAAGGACAAAGTAAAATGTTTGCTCTCATAATTTTGGGGTAATTTGTTAGGCAGCAATAACAACCAATTAGTATGTGCCATTTTACTCTGCTCTGCACATTATCTCTACCAACTCCCTTAATCTTGTCTATACTGCACAGTGAGTGTTACTGCATTTTATTTTATTTTATTTTATTTTTAATTTTTTTTTCAACATTTATTTATTTTTGGGACAGAGAGAGACAGAGCATGAACGGGGGAGGTGCAGAGAGAGAGGGAGACACAGAATCGGAAACAGGCTCCAGGCTCTGAGCCATCAGCCCAGACCCCGACGCGGGGCTCGAATTCACAGACCGCGAGATCGTGACCTGGCTGAAGTCGGACGCTTAACCGACTGCGCCACCCAGGCGCCCCTGTTACTGCATTTTAGAGATGAATGAAGTGAGTTTCAGAGAGGTTAACACTCTCATAATGTCACACAGCTAGGAAAAAGTAGAGTTGGAATTCAAACCCAAGCCTGCCTAACTGAAATCTAAAAAATAAAATCAAAGGAATCTTAAATTTGTACAGTAAGGCCTACTCTTCCAGCAGAAAAAAGATAAAAAATTGGCAACATATCTGAGATCAATTGAATTAGAAATACCCACGTTCAAATAAAATAATTAAAACACTTTCTAGAGTTCAGCATGTGCAAGCTACAAATGAAAAATTTGGTTGAGAGGGCCCTAGTGAAAAACAAATTTAACTATTACCATATGAACATTGTTGCCTGAATAGTGAAGACGCCAAATGGCTGAGCAAAAGGTATTGGAAATAATCTGTAACAACTTCTGTAAAGATGTTTTGGCATGAAAGTGTACAGCAATTTCATTTTGAAATACTGAAAACCATGAGCGAAAACATAATTAGTATCCATAAAAAGTGAATAATTACAGCGCTTTGCTTTAAATGACCTTTGATGAAGTTCTAATTCTTCAATATACCATTACCCATTTAACCTAACATAAAAAAGGAGAAATCATCTTCTATACTTTTCATCCCTTTAGAGGTCTACCGTCAAAAGGAAATATCAAACTTAAACTGCCCTATCATATGCCAAGACTGAGGGACTATAATTATGCTCGTTCACACACAAGACTAAAACATATTTTTAAAATTTGTTCTGATTGTATTTGTGGCTTGCAACTTATTTATCTCAAATAAACATTTTCCATGTCTCTTCTGTTGGACTTACAGTTCTTTACATATTAACTCTAAATATTGGCAAAGAAACTTTTCATCACTGAACAGTCCTTTCATCCCTTCACCTCTGATTGCTCTAGTGTCTTCTTCAAAGGTTCTTTGCTTTATCCCAGGTTAGTGTTTGATATATTGGGAATAGGTTGGATGTTTCAAGTATGTCTATTAGAATTTGATTTGTTTGATCCATAGTTCTCAAATATTTGTGTGCTTACGAATCATCTGGGGGATGCATAATAAAAAACTAGATTCCTAAAAAAGAAGGGGAGGGGGTGCCTGGGTGACTCATTTGGTTTAGCATCCTACTTTTGATATGATTTCCACTCAGGTCATGATCCCAGAGTCGTGGAATTGAACCCCGCTAAGAGTGGAGCCTGCTTAGGATTCTCTTTTTCCTTCAGTCCCTTTTCCCCTTCTCACGCACACTCAATCTCTCCCTCTCTAAAACAAATACACAAAAACAAAACAAAACAAAACAAAACAAAACAAAACAACCTAGATTCTTGAGCCACATTGCC